TTTGTTCCCTCAGAGATAAGGTTTCACATAGCCCAGGTTAGCCCTTAGCTCGCTATGGTACCAAGGATGTCCCTGAACTTTCTGACCTTCCTTCCCCCCCCCCCATTTTATGAGTTCTGGGACCATAGGCATTTGCTACCTACCTTGGCTTATGTAGTGACTTTGGCATGCTGGGCGAGTACAAATATCCCTACCCCTAGTTTTCCTCTTTAAGTGTGTATTACACGTCAAGTATATACAAGGTCCCCAAGGTACCTTTCTTACCAGTCTTCATGGTGGTGGTGATCATGACGGTGATGTCGACTGCTCTCGATGTGTCCTTGCTACGTGCTGAGCCTTATTCTGTGTAAGTATCAACTCCGGGGACCTCACTGTAGACAGCATATCTTCATTCCTCAGATGAAGACGTCGGGTCTCATAACTTAATACGTTTGCATAAGGAGTAATATGGAGGAATGCTGAGACTGAGGCTCAAGTTTGCCCCAGCACCAAGGACTTCCCTTTACCTCATTTCACAATCTTCCCAGCGTGGCCACCCGTAGTTTTAGGGATTGCTTTCTGCTTAAAAATAACTGTTTCATAAACTGTATATAAAGATGGAGAGGTAGGGAGTGGAGCTGGGGGAGAGTGGATCTGAAAGCCTGGTTGTTCTCAGATGGAGCCTGTGGTGGTTTGGGGTGGTGTGGCTTTGCTGGAGGTGTGCTTTGAGAGTTAAAAGTTCCCCATCATTTCCAGCTTGCTTGCCCTGCCTTCTGCTTGTGGCTGAGGGTATGAGCTCTCAGCTCCCTGCTTAGGCTGCCATGCCTGCCTGCTGTCATACTTTCCTGTCATAATGGACTCCTATCCCCCCGGAATTGCAAAACAAGCTCCTTCTAAGAGTCTTTTTGAGTCCTGGTATTTTTTATTACAGCAACAGAAGGGAAACAAACATGAAGTCATGGGTCCTGTTCTGTCTGTTTTTGAGGGTTTTTGTTTTGTTTCTAAACACTTTTTATTTCTTGGGTACTGGTATTTTTCTTCAATGCTTGTCTGTGAATCATATGCATGCCTTGTACTCAGGGAGGCCAGAATGGGCATCAGATCTCCTGGATCTGGAGTTACAGATGGCTGTGAGTCACCTCATAGGTCCTGGGAATTGGGCCTATGTCCTTTGCAAGAGCAGCCAGTGCCGGTAACTGCTGAGCCATCTCTCCAGCCCTACAGGTCCTGTTTTTTAAAGATTCTCGTGAGAGAAACTCACGAGGGGATGAACTGTTACACAGGGAGCAAGTCAAGACTCCATTTGTTTGGAGGCCCACACCTTGGACCGGTGCCCAGTCCCTTGTCTGGAAATCCTGCTTTGTTCTGTCCCCGAAAATGCCTGAAAGTCCTCTTCCTGGCAGTGGAGTGGTCACAGTCATCAGTGACACCCACTCTGCCACAGCCGGCATCCCGGTCTCTGCTGAGAAAGAGCTGGCTGAACTGCTGCTGTTTCTGGTCAGACCCCATCTGCAGGGACCAGAAACATTCAGGGCACCGCCCCAGCCAAGAAACAGCAAGGGCCCTGTTCTCCAGACCCAGCTCCCATGCCACCTTCTCCTCCCAACCTCCCAACCCAGCACGAGGGTTCCAGATGGGCTGGAAGGAAGGCCCTGGGCAAATATTGGCTCTTGAAAGGTTAATAATTTACAAATGAACTACAGCTGATAAGAAGTCGGAGCTTCTGCTGCCAGGATACAGGGGGACGTGATATGCATGCAGTCAGCTCCCTACGGTGGGAACAAAGCAGCAGGATCCAGGGGACCCCTTTAATAGAAAGCCTTGGAGATGTGGCTAAGATGCCAGTTTCTTTATACAACAGCGGCAGCTGCGGGGTAGGGGATTGGGTCAAAACATGCCAATGAAGGCATAGTAGAGGCAGCCTCCCCTCTCCTGTCCACGCTTCCAGCCAGGAAGGGCAACCATGTTTTTTTTTTTATTCAACCGCGCACACCTGCCATTGCACCTCCTCAGCCTCCCACACAGCTCCCATCCTGAGACGTAGATGTCCTCGAAAAGGCAGGTGCTTCTATTTGCTCCTCCACAGGAGGAAGGAGAAAAAAAAAAGAATAAAGTTTATTTTCATAAGCTATTTGGGACTTCAGAAGGCATCTAAAAATGGCAGAGACAGCCCACACATTCGGGAGCTGGGAAGGAGGGGCAGGGAATGGACGGAAGAGGTAGAAGGAAATGAGGAGGGGGGGCTGTTTGCATGAGGGGTTATCACAATGACATCCACACAGGCAGCCAGCAGGGAGAGGCAGTGAAAGGCTGTGACAGGGCTGGAGCCTGAAACATCTCCGCTGCTTGTTTCAAAGTGTTTTTCACTCCTGCTCTGATCCATTGTCCGGGCTGACACACATGAAGGGGTGTTAGGAAGAGAGAACATTTCATCACGTCAAGGGGCTTGTCTCACACAGAGGTTAAGAGACTTCCCTCATGAAACTCCCGCTAAGAAGTCGTCCATGAGGCACCAGGAGGGTTACGCCCTACAGCCTAGCAGAGTCATGCTCGCAAGTCACCTACATGCTCACCGTCTCCACTCCTCTTCCTGCTGCTGTGAGAAAAACACTCTGATCAAAGCAGCTTAAGGGATAATGGGCTTGTTTTTTGTTTTTGTTTTTAACCCATGGTTCCACATTCTTGTCCATCTTGGTAGGGAAGCCAATACAGCAGGCGCTTGAGGGAACTGGTCACATTACATCCTCAGTCAAGGAGCAGACAAAGACGAAAAGTGGTGCTCAGTTCCCTTTCCCCATGTGTACAGTCCCGGATCCCTGCTGAGGGAATGATGTTACCCATAGCTGGTGGGCTACCCCATCTCAGTCAGTACAGTCAGGATAATCCCCACAGACACAAACATGCCCAGAGACCCGTCTCTCAGGTGATTCTAGAATTTGGTAACACTGATAATCAACACTAGTCATCAGACTCACGCTGTGCGCACATACGTGCACACCCTCACGTGCTCAAACACCCAAGAGCAGGCCTCTGTGTGTGGTCACGCTCATGTGCAGATTGCATGGCCGCACTTGCAGTCACACATATGCGCATAGACGCAAACACAGATGCATAACCTAAGCCAGTCTGGAGGGTAGCCAGTGTCTGGTCCAGAGGCTTGGAGAACAGGTGGGAGCCAAGGTGAGGGCTCCGGCTGGGAGTCTCCAACCGATGGGTCCCTCTTCTGGAATGCCCTTCCTGATCACATCCATACACCTCCCATGTTTGTCCATCCATCTGCCCAAGGGCTTCTGGCCAGAGGAGCTGCTCTCCCTGCATCCTGGGTAACTTCTTCCACCACCGGCCAGAGGAGTCTTAGCAGCTGTGTTGCTGGGGAGCTTTTCCTGGTTACAGCTACTCCGCTCAGAGGCTGGGCTTCTGGTATACAGCCTGGTGCAGGATATCATATCTTCTATAAGCTGAAAGTTTGTCCAGAAAAGCAAACGGTCATGTACAGGAAGCCACATGGCCGGGAAGCTCTGAAGGAAGGGCCTCAGGTTCTGTGATGGGCCTGAAGATCCTTGCTTCCTACCCGCCTGAGACTTTCCTGTTGGGTTTTCCCAGGGATTCTGTGGGACACTACAGGCTGCTTAAATCTAGATTAGCTCTGATTTAATTTACTTGCCAACTAATAATACCAATTAGCACCATTCACATTAATGCTAATGAATATTAATTACACAGTTGATGGACAGAGCGCTAAGGCAACCCTATTCAGCTATCCCCCTCCCTGCCCGCACCTTTGACTAGAAGAAGCAAGCAACTGGCCCTCAGATCCCACAACCCCTCTGCGCGGCTTCATTTTCCTCTCTGGGCAAGATGTTTCCCTCTTACCTTCAAAGAAGGACCCCACACACTCTTTACATGTGGAAGCCACGTCTTATCTCTCATCTCAGCGCACACACCCTGGTGCAGCTACTTGCTCGTAACATGATGAAACGGTATCCGTGGCATGGATGAGAAAATGCACAATGGAACACAGTTTGAGGTGATCGATCGAATTGTCTCAGGCGATGGCATTTGAGGCTTTATCCTGGGAGTGTGTTGGGTCCTGATCCTTGAAGGTAGGCATCCTCAAGTGTGATTCATTCCACTCTCCCAACAAAAGCCAGGCCACACAGGGAACATGAAAGTCAGAAACGACTCTGACCTTGAAGTCTCCTTGGGCTGAGGTCAGGGGTACAAGGAGGGCAGGAGACACAGTGGTGACTCCACCAGGGGACACATCAGGCACAGCTCCCACCCCAACCCCCGCCCCAGAGCAGCAGAGGTAAGAAAATCATGCAAGACAGATCTGCCCTAATCTTGCAACAAGATCATGTTAAAAGCAATTTTTCAAGCCTGAGTAAGATGTTTATGGCCTGATAGACGATGGCTGGCGAACTCATTTCATCATAAATATCACAGCAGATAATACACTTCAGTATAAATGATGCATCTGCCTTTGCCAGGGTCTCCCCATGAGTAATGTCCCTCCGATACCAGCTTCTAAAAGATAAACAAATTATGGGTGGTAATTACCCAGAGTTTGATTTTCTTTTTTATGAGCTTTCTTTCACCCTAATCACACTCAGGGTGGGAAGACAGAGACATGAATTGGACTTAAAGTGGGGAAGCAAAGGGCCTACCTTCTCCCCCCAGTGGGGAGGCTGAAGACTGAGCGTGTTTCCATGGCTCCCCGATGAAAGGGAACACCCAGTAAGTAGGAAAACAGTACAGGAAGCAGAGAATTAGGACAGGGAGGAGGCAGCAACTCATCCAGCATGTGACTATTTAGAATATGCTAAAGCCGTAGACAAACCCTTTCCCCGATTCACACATACATGAACATGGGGCTGTGTACCCAACTGCCGCCCACCCCGGCTCAGGTTTCTCTTTGCAAACCTTGAAGCCACTGAGGCTCCCAGCCTTGGCCCCCCTCATTCTGACTGGGGACATCTACATCTATTGCCTGCTGGTGTAACAGAAAACCAGAACACCTGTAAAGAGCAGCCTATATTTATTTTGTAAAGAACAGCCTTATATTTATTTATTTATTTATTTTCTTTTTGGCTCATGCTCCTTGAGTCTGTCAAGACCGAGAGCATGATCCTGGAAGCCCAGTGGGTATGAACTTGGCTGTGAGAAAGAGCCAGCAGCCTAATGCCCGAGCAGGTCCAGTGAGGTCCAGGGTCTGAGTCTTCAAAACCAGTTCCGGACTGGGAAGAGAAGGGCATCAGAACCTGAAGTAAACAGGGCTGGCGTCACCAAGTTCCACAAAGCAAAAGATAGAAAACAAGAGCGGAGTCTTGACTGAGTTCCCTCCAAAGGTTGTGCGGTGGCACCGAGTCCTGGGACCCTGTAACAGGCAACGATCCTTGGTGCTCTTCTCACGCCTCAAGCCTCTACCTCCATGGTCGCTTGTCACCCCTGGCAGTCTCCCAGGACAGCGTCAACATGGGATGAAGCCAACACCCCGCTCCAGTGTGACCAGCCTAAATAAACGTGCCTGGTTCCATTTCTAAGTAGGATTTCATCATGTGACTCGTCATGGGACCAGTGAATTTTCGAGGGAGCACAGTAAGGAAATGAGAGCCAGGCTGAGAAGGAAGGCAGAGACAGCTAGAGGAAGAGAGAGAGTGATGGGAGAAGTCCTGTGTATATGTCAATAAAGGACTGTTGGCCAATAGGGAACCAAGATAGGCGGGACTAGGAGTCCAGGAGGACTCTGGGAAGGAGAAACACAGGAAGTTGAGATGTAACCACCATGGGGTAGGAAGCCCGGAAACTTCTACGGTAAGGGAAATACTTAGATTAATAATTATGGGATTAAATACTTAAGTCAGAGCTAGCCAGTAAGAAACAAGCAAGGCCAACAGCTTCATAATTAATACAGTCTCCTGTGTGTTATTTGGGACTGATGCGGCTCTGGAACCAGGCTGGCGGGAAGGCTTCCCTTTACAAGAGAGGCTAAGATGAAGAGTGAGAAACACAAAAGAGAGACATGGGGGAGATGAAGGGAGGGAAAGAGAGGTGTGGGAAGGGATGAAGAGGAGGGAGAAGGCGGATGGGAAGGGGCACGGGAGGGAAAGGAGGTGGGTGGGATGGAGCGGAAGGGGCTGAGGAGGAGAGGAGATGGGCAATGGAGCATCTGCTAGGGAAGCAACCACATGCACACACTGATTCCCAAACACCAAGGGTAGAAACCAAAGAGCACCTCAGCGTTCAGAGTTTCCCCAAATGCAGACCCCTCACTGGCTAGGCCCAGTGCCAGCCTCACACTGCTTACTGGAGCCAGGTACATTATAAGAAGCATTCCACGTGTATCTGCACGTCGTAAACAGCTGCAGTACGGAAGAGTGGCCTGAGGGTTGGGGACCCTAACCCTAACCCTAACCCTGTCACATACACATCTCACTTCCTGCCAAGACTCTGACCGCAGGGGCTTCCAGTTTGAAAGCTGGGAGCATGAGAGCTGGGGAGAAGAAAACCTTATCCACAAGCTGTGTCAGAGTAGTCATGAGCTTTTTTACCTCCTCTAGAGAAGAGAGCAGGTCACCTAGGAGCTTCGGTACAGTTCCCCCTAAGGGGCGTGCTCTGAGGGCTACAAGTCTGCCTCCATCATTCATCCGAGGTGTCGCCTGTTATTACTTTCCAGCTCCCATGCTCTGGTCTGTTCCAGCTTCATGGAATTTTCCAAAACTCTCTAAAAAAGGAGACTGTCACATTAGCATCAGCCAATGTGGACCCCAGGCATGACAAATCTAAATTAATAGGAGGAAGGACGTCCCGAGATTGGCAAGAGAGTTCCCTGGGGGCATGTATCTGTGCCCAGGTGTTTTAGGTGTGCATTTTCTGTTTGTGTGTGCATGGTTTGTGCCTGTGTGTGTGTGTGTGTGTGTGTTTGTGAAATCCGGCAGAGGCAGAAGAAAGGCCCTCAATAAACACATTCATTTCTGAGTCTGTGGCCTCTGGAATACTCTTTGTCATTGGAATAGTCACTCATTCACTTGGCAGCAAGTCATAGGACAGGCATAATTTATGAATGAGGCCTCCCTTGCTTTCATTTTCTTCTACCGAATTAGAAATGAACGAGTTTGGCTTTCGGGTAATGGTCCCCACACCCTTTTGTCCTTGAAACCATCCCTGGAAATGGAAAAGCCTCTCTTCCTAGGGGAATTTGTCATGCCAGCCTTGACCAGTGCTGCGTCTGGAAGAGGAGGTTGAAAGAGCAGAAGGGCAGGTGCTGACTCAATGCCATCCCTAGCCCCTGGGCCATGTCACAAGGGAGGGACAAAATGATGCAACACCATCCCTAGCCCCTGGGCCATGCCACAAGGAAGAAGAAGAGCCTCTACTGTCAGAGCATGCATAGCTAGAACTGCCAGGCTGTCTTCTCCACAGCCACGCCCCTCTCAGGGACAACCATACAGAGAACAGTAAGCCAATGGGCAATTACTCCACATGGACACACAACGGAGTGTGTGTCCTAGCACCATTAGTTGCCATAGTAACCCTTATTCTTTATTCCACTTCCTTATTTACTCATTCATTCTTTTCTTCTTCGGGAATACTGATAGTAGGCTATGCTAAGTACTAACGGCAAAAAACCCATTCTGTAAATATCAGCTTATAGCAAAACCAAGAAGGAAAGGGAGTTGGGAAAGCTGAGGGCATCATGGAGTTGGATTCTCCTAACGTGGACAGGCTATCTTTGCCGTTCTTAGAGGGTACAGGTGGCTCTAGACCCACAAATGAGTGTTTGGGCCTCTTCCTGTTTGGAGCTTTCTCCCTCTGCTAGTGTCTGGCACCCCTCAGTGACCTTCTGATTGGAAATCCTCATAGTCCCTTCCACAATAAGGTGGGTAGTACTAAAGATCAGGGCCCTAGAGAAGTCTAGAAAGGGCTGTCGATTTGGAAGCGTGCAAAAAGAGGTGGTTGTTGCTGGCACCACGACACAAAGGAGGATGACTCCCGCAGGTCCCAGGCTGAAAGACGAAGGCTGCTGGAGTGTGAATCCATGAATGGACAGGCCAAAGCCCCCACTGGGGCTGAGCAGAACTGGTGAACAGTCAGGTTCACCAGTCTCATGCCCGCACGTTTCCTGTCTTAATAAACTTAGCTGAAGAAGCACCCATCCTGAAGACAGTCTCCACAGTAGCACACTCACGTGGTGGCATTGCCTCTCACCCTCTGACCAGTGTTGGTTTTACTGAAAGCAGCCAAGCCTGGGGACCATCCCAAGTCCTTTCTCCGTCCCCTTCTATGCTAGGAGCTCTAGCTAGGGTGAGCTCTGTAGCCGGGAGAAGGAGAGGGAGGAAGCCAACAGCAGCAGGTACTTTCTCCCTGTGCCCCAGGCCATGCCTCTGTCAAGCCACAACCCCCACCTCCCACCAGATCACCTCTGACTGAGACTCACAAGGGTTTGTTCCCTCACCCGACCCCGTACCCGCCCCCACCTCCAGAAACTTCTGTGAGGACACCATGACACCTGCTGCTGACCACTAAGGCCCACAGTGCCAGGACACCATCGCGGGGCCCCGAGTTCTGCCTTTGTGGCCTCAGAAACCAGCTCCCAAATCAACCCTAGGTTCTATCTGACTGGTGGGCAGATGTATGTATCCCATTCTCATGTCAGAGGATGAGGCGTTGAGAATATGACCTCTCATAGCAGGGTAAAGTAAGATTTTAGGGGGAAAAAAACTTCCCAAGCATCAGAAAAGAGAACAGGTACAAAGGACACCTAAAATAATAATAATAATAATAATAATAATAATAATAATAATAATAATAATATAATACATTTTAAAATGGTGTTTGCTATAGGAATAATAAGTCAGGGCTGAACTACAGATTTGGGGTCAACATACCAAGAGTAAAATATCTTCAAGATTGTAACATGTAGTCTTCACACCAGCCGCTTGGGTCCTGCTGCTGTTTCAGCCCCCAAATAACACACGAGACACTATGTTAATTATGAACTTGTTGGCCATTTGCTTTGATTTCTTATCTGCTAACTCTGACTTAATTATTAACCCATTACTGCTAATCTAAGTATTTCCACGTGATCTTCTCTTACCGGAGAAAGGGTCTGGACCCCTTATTCCTCCCATGTCCTTCATTGTGACTGACTGTGCCTCTGTTTCCCAGAGTCCTCCTGGACTCCTAGTCCCACATATCCTGCTTCCCTATTGGCCAACAGCGCTTTATTCATTAATCAGAGAGAGACATATACACAGAAGGACTTCCCCCATCACAAGATCACTGGATTCATTCTGGCAGAGAGGTTAGAACTCCCCGAAGGAGCTACAGCCCCGGGCATAATCATCCATTCCCACTTACCCAGCAAACTGATGCTGGGTTCTCAGCAAATCCCATTAAAGTTGCAGAGGTCAGCATGGCTTCCTACCGAGAGCTGCATGTCTACCTAGCTAGGGACACTAATCAGATGTTAGAGCTAATGCTGGCCCTAGTCAAAGAGAAATATTAAGGAAGCCCAACTCTAGATGAATTCCGAACTTACTCTCAGACTCCACGCTGAGCCCTAGGTCTGAGGCTTTTACCACAGACCCACCCCCAGAAGGCTCAAATGGGAATGAACCAGACATGCAGCTCACCAGTGTCCTACCCTTGTCTCTTACATGGGCTCCAGGTTCAAAATCCCTGCATTTCTGCTTCCAGCCAAGGAGTCTCGACTCCTGTCACCACCCACCGACCCTCCACATAACTCTCCCTTTCCCTTAACGACCTGCAGCCTTGCTTAAAAACTGACGCCTTCTCTTGATGGATTCCTTTCTAACTCCCTGTCAAACAGGGTGCTTTCTCTCTTCATTTTCCAAGACTTTATCCACATCCATTAGGCCGGAGAGTGGATTTCATTATGATCATTACCAATATGGACAGGCAGCCAAGATTTAATATCTGTTGGTCAATAACTGCTTTCCTATCTAATAGCTCTAATGGCCATTTAGAGGGGACTGTGACCTTCCTGTCCTGCTGGTTTCCCAGGGGGTAGGTTGGCACTAACAGAGTCATGGGAGTTTGGGATCTCTGGGCCCGTTTTTTCCTGAGTAGGCACAGGGTATGGGAGGCCAGGATAAGGAACCAGAGGCCTGGCACCTCATGTCCCAAGTCTAATCTATGTCCAGCACCCAATAGAGTCCTTTCTGACCCCATCACTCTCTCTTCTCTAGGTGGTCCATACCCACATTTTTCATATCCTTTCTCACCTAGCAAACCTGCA